GAAAAATGAAGCGTGTGCATTCAGTGAAGAAGCTGTGCAGCACCTTGAAGATGCTACTGAAGCTATTAAGAAACTGGTAACATAACCGGAAAGTATAAAGTATTTAGAGTCACTTGTACATGAGAAAGATGTACAGTGTGAAATGAGTGAAATTAATATTTTACTGTTGTATCATAAGCAACTTTCTGCTCTGAAGGTCAGATTCTCCCATCAGAGAAGGGAAGACAACTCCAGCTGAAGTCAGTGGAAGCTGTGCATGCACTTTGCAATGTGCACAATTTGGCCCTAATAATATAATCCAACTAATCCAACCCTACCAAGATAAATGACACAGCCAGGGAAAATGTGGGATTCTGTTACTTTGGAGCAGGGACAGATGTAACCTCCCAATTCAATGGGTGTATTGTACCACATCCAGCCCTGCTCCTGCTCCCTCTGCTCCACATGCAGCCCTGCTCCCCTTCTCATCTTCCCCCAGGATGTAAGGAAGTTGCCATGGCAGCCTGGAGTGGGCAGGAGCGTACTAATGAGGTACCCCTTCCCCTGCGGTAATGGCACAGGCTCCCTCTGGCTTTCCCTACACCACAGCTCCCTGCCAGGCTGGATAAGGAGAACGGCCTGACTTTCCCCCACTGCCCCCCACCTAAATCCTTAGTGCTCTCTGCTTATTCAAGGCTTCCTGTTGGTCCATGGCACTGAGAGGAGCTGCTGTGTGTTCTGGCAGGAGGGCCGGGAAGGCAGAGTGGGACCTGGATGCTGGCCAGGCTCCCCCCAAGCAGGAGTGCTCCCTGTCCACCCTCTATACCTTCATGCTGGCTCGAGACTTCCCGCCGGTGCTTGGCACTGAGAGGAGCTGCTGCAGGTTCTGGCAGGAGAAGGGATCTGGGTGCCAGTTGGGAGCCATGAGATGCAATCATGGAAGTTCATTGATGTCTGTGGGTGCAGTTGCACCCATGGACCCTGACTAGAGCTGCCAGTGCTTTGGAGGACTTCCCTAGGACTAGGCCCAGTCCACACTTTGTGTAAGTGTATGCACTTGCACTGAAGTCAAGAGAGGAAGGATGCTCTTGTGGTCAATGCAATGGATTGGGTCTCCAGATCTGGTAGTTCCCAGCGCTTTCACAGACTTCCTATTTTAGTTTAGAGCAAGTGATTTAGGCCCCAGTCTTGCAATGAGCTTGTGTGGGTGGAACCTCATTGAAATTAATGGGGCTCCACATGAGGGCAAAGTCTGCTTGTGAAGAGCTCCTTGGAGGATAAGGGCCTTATTCTTTCACTTAATCCCATCTGTATGAATGAGAAGAATACCTCTGTGTCTCATAGGGATATTGTGAGGATACATTATTTATGGATTGTTAGCTGCCCAGATGCTACTGTGATGAGCACTATAAAAAAGCCTGTATTAAAAAATAAAGCAAATCAATAATTTTGACCTAGGTGTTTTTCCCTCTGACCCCAATGCACTCTTTCCTGGAGCAACTCTTAGTGTCCTTCACTACAGAGAGACGAGAACTCCCATGTGCATGGTTAGGGTGTCATCTGTGATATTTCTTAACTGGGAATGGCTGTTCGAAGATGATTAGCATCTGTCATAAGGCCATGGTAGACATTAAAGCCAAAGTGGTTTCAAATAAAACAGTTTAAAAAAATCTCTTTAATTTATCCGCTGATAAATGTAAATCTCTTATAAAACTCTCCTTTTTTCCTTCACTACTACTCTAACTCACCTGTTTCAACCCTCCTCTTCAGTAATTCATCATTAAGGCTGCAATTCTGTCACAGAGGTTGCAGAAATCACAGATTCTGTGACTTTCCACGACCTCCATGACTTTCGCAGCTGCAGTGGCTGGTGCGGCTGACCCCAGGGCTGCTCGGGCGCCCTGCGGCCAGCCGCACTGGCCATTGCTCGGGTGGCCTTGGGCAGCTGGCCCTGGGGAGTACCCGAGCAGCGGTCCCGGGGGCAGCCCCGGAGAGTGCCCTGGCACCGGGACCTCGGAGTAGCGGGTGGCTGAGGGCAGTCAGCCCCCTTGGCCAGTGCAGGGGCTAGCCATTGGTCCCTGGGACCCCCTAGAGCAGCAGTGTCCTGGGGCTACCCAGAGCAGCAGCACCCCCAGGCCCTAGGAGCTGCTAAGTTTTAGTCAGGGGTATTTATATAGTAAAAGTCATGGACAGGTCACGGGCCTTCAACAAAAATTCAAGGCCCGTGAC